ACCAGGTGGGGTATTCGCGGGACACAAAACCGGAGGCACAAGGAGTTAATTAGAAGGCAGGCAAGGGGCTGGTCAGGCCACAATGACGGGGCTGCGAGCGGAGACGGCTAAATTACTTCCGAGGATTAATATGAACCGGGCTGAGCTAAAGCTGACGTTGAGTAATCGGTGCAGGGGAGCGGCTCCCGCGTTCCCACAACAGCCCCCTCCCCTGCGCCAGGATGTGGCTGGGGGCACATGAACCAAACTCCACATCTGGACTCCCCTCCCCCGCTGTGGTAGGAATGGTCCCGATCCTGACCATCTCCCGAGCACCCACTGGAGTCCAGGAGGGGGGACTCCCTGGCTTGAGCCCCTTTGGTAACAGGCACAATCTGGCTTGCGGAGATGGGGGAAGTCTGCACCAATGTAGCTGCAGAGGTGGGAACCCCCTTCACCTCCCCCGGAGAGAGAGGCTGGGCTGGTGCCAGCAACTCTTGTCACTTCCCCCACTGCTGAGAGGCAGCCACCTCTGAGATGGAACGCGGCAGCTGTTAACTACATAGCGGTGTCATGCCTGGCTGGGGCAGGAAGAGACGGAGAGGCTGGAGCCCACAGGGGATGTGGCGGGACCAGGGGGAATTGCCTGCACTGGACTTTAGCCAGGATGCTGTGAGGGAAGCCACAGGCGACCTTGGCTGGTCCCATGTGGCAGGCCGAGCCTGCGGTGGCAGAATGCCCCCCAGTATGGTGCCAGTATGGGCCCTCCCCCGCCCCAAGTGCCCAATCAGCCTGAGGGGAACATTCCCTGGGCCAGGCAGGGTGCTGGCGACCTAAGGGGACGTCTCCTCTTCTCACCCTGGCCACCCACCCGCTCCCCGATGTCGTGTGCACGTCACCCATCTCCCCCTGAGCCTTTCCCGGGGCGGCTCGCAGCAGTGGCATCCCAAGGCTCCCTGCCCGGGCTGCAGCCTCCATCCTCCCCTCCCCAGCTAACCCGCCCCCAGCTCTCTTGCTCTGCAGGCTGGATGAGACACCCCCCGGCCCAGCCTGCAGATGGGCAGCGCGAGGCACGGGCCACGCTTCTGGCCCATCTTTTCCAGTGCTTGGACCCCACCGCTGGAGCCCCCGTTGCTGGTCACAGGGAAGGCGTGACACAGGTGAGTGTGAGTGTGCGTGTGACATTAACGCACATGATTTAATGCACTGAAAAGCTGGAGCGTTTCCTTCAGCACTCAGCTACCAACCCCCCCCCCCCACCACCACCACCACCACACACACACACCAAAAACCCCTCTGGAAAGTCCAGCCAGTGTCGAAGGTGCCAGATGTCACACAGCTTCCCAGCTGTGATGGGCTTTCCACGGGGCTGGGGGAGGGCAGGGAGTGCATTTCCCAGCTCAGGCCCAGAACAGCGCAGGGGGAGGGGGCGGGGAGCTATATTTAAAGCCACCCAGTGTATTTATAAAAGCCCAGATAATTTGCACCCTGCAGGCCAGTTGTGTGTGTGTGACTCTATCTCAGGGGGGGCTTTGTCTGCTGAAGGTGTGATACGGCTCAGCAAGCCCTCTGGAAAGCCTGAGTAACAGAGGTGACTTATAAGAATGTCATTATCTATATTCTTAACTCTCCACCGCAGGCAAACAGGGTTATTTTCATGCCCTGGGCATGGCAGAATTTAGCAGAGCGATAGCTCCCGGCAGACAAGGGTGATGCTGCCGGAGGGTTATTTCGGGATGTGTTTCTTTCCAGTCTTTTTTTTTTTTCTGTGCATTTCTTTATTTTACCGCACCCGGGAGTGTTTTTCACCTTGGCAAGAAAAAGGGACAATCTTTTTTTTTCCTTCTTCTTTCTTTCTTTCTAAGCATCAGCTTTTCCACTAGCGCCACGAGAAGGTATTTCTGGAAACGCCCCCAGTGCCACTCCTGAGCATTTGATACTGTCCCACTCGAGGTGCCGCGTCGCCGGCTCATGGCCCGTGTCCCACCGGGGCGGGGGGTTAACCTCTGAGCAACTACAGAGATCTGCAGGTGAGCAGGCCCCATTAGAGCCGCTCATGGGACCTCCTGTCTCACCCTGCATGCTGCAGCCAGGCTAGCGACGTGTGTCTGGCTAACGCATCATCCAGACCCTCCGCTCTGCAGCTGGAGCCGTCGAGACACGGCGAGTCCACTTCCCTTCGGGTGCTTGCTGCCCTGGCTCAGCACCCTGGGTGGGAAAAGGCCGCTAGCGTCTGTCTGGTTTAACTGCCACCCATGAGGCCTTGTTCTGCCCCAGCCCAGCCCCTTTGGGAAAGCCCTCCTGCTGCGCTCGGTGTTGGATCAAGCGCCAGGAGCTCAGCACCCACCGTCCTGGGCCTTTCTACGAATCCTGACTGGTACTGAACCCAAAGGGAGTTGGGCACCTCAGTGTTCCTGGGGCTCTAGGCCAGCAGGACATTTTGGGGATAATGTTGGGACACGGCTTGGGGGTGAACCTGCCGACCAGGTGCTTGGCAGTTCAGTGAGCCTGGCGGCGCACCCACTGGCCCCGTGCTCCTTCTCCGCGTGTTTCTGCACAGAGGCCCCATGACAAAAGAGCGAAGGGTGAATTCAGCCCTGGGGAAAGGTGCCGTGTTGAGGGCCCAGCTGAGACCCAGCCCAGCCCAGCGTCTCCCAACTAGCCAGCTCCGTGGAGCCGGGGAATCGCTGTGTCTCGAGGCCCTGGGATGCCTCGGAGGATCGGGCTCAGTGCAAACAGGGCACCATACGATAGACTCCAGCTCCCTCGCTTTGCTTCCCCACGAGTGGAGCGGGAGGGGACCGTGCAGGACGATGCTCATTCGCTGTCTTGTCATCATTCGCCGCCAGAGGTCACTAAAGACTCCTTGGCACTAAGGGGAACCAGCCCCCCGGTCCCAAGCAAATGTCTGAGGCCAGAGGCCCCATTGTATCAGAGCTTGGATGTCCTGGTGACAGGCACATGAGACCAGCTGAGAGATGGCCACACATTAGATGGATGGATTAGATTAGACAAGCAGCCCCTGGACCTTTCAGTTGGACGCATTATTCTAGATTTCCAAACTATGGTGCATTGTTACTGTGTGGCTGTTAACCAGCTACCAGACTCCACCCCAGAGGTGGCTGCATTCAATGGTAGGCATGGTAATTCCTGTGTGTAGCACGTTGGGAGGAACTGGGTGTTACTCTAGAGCGTCCTGGCCTCTTCCCCATCTCCTTCCCCAGTGCTCCTCCGCCGGGCATTGAGAGCCGGTGCAGGGGCCTTCGCCATCATTGCACGCCGGGCATTGAGAGCCGGTGCAGGGGCCTTCGCCGGCATTGCACGCCGGGCATTGAGAGCCGGTGCAGGGGCCTTCGCCGGCATTGCATGCCAGGTGACACAGGCCGGTGCAGGGGCCTTCGCCGGCATTGCATGCCAGGTGACACAGGCCGGTGCAGGGGCCTTCGCCGGCATTGCATGCCAGGTGACACAGGCCGGTGCAGGGGCCTTCGCCGGCATTGCATGCCAGGTGACACAGGCCGGTGCAGGGGCCTTCGCCATCATTGCATGCCAGGTGACACAGGCCTGTACAGGGGCCTTCGCCGGCATTGCATGCCAGGTGACACAGGCCGGTGCAGGGGCCTTCGCCGGCATTGCACGCCGGGCATTGAGAGCCGGTGCAGGGGCCTTCGCTGACAGCGCATGCCAGGTGACACAGGCCTGTACAGGGGCCTTCGCCGGCATTGCACGCCAGGCATTGAGAGCCAGTGCAGGGGCCTTCGCCAGCAGCTGGGCCTCCCTGTTTAACCGCAAGGGGTGCGATCGGTGGCTCACCCCAGACCCCGCCCAAACATGAAAGCCAGGCAGTTCCCCAGCTCGTCGCCTGCTTCCACTTAGCACCAGCTCTGGCGGGAGGTTCGTTCTCTAGCTGATCCCGCTCGGCGCGGGGAGGGGCTTGGGATTTGCTTTCTCCTCCTCAGAAGCAAGCTGTGGGTTTGAGGCTCCCGGCTCCCAACACACTCGCTGAAGATCCTGAAACCCCAAACCAGGTGGGGAGCAAAGTGTGCCAGGGCGAGAGCAGGGGAATTGCCGCCTCGGGCCTGCTCCCGCTCTCAGACCGTGGTGCAGCCAGATCCCAGACCAGCTCCCAGCATGGGGCGGACCACGCGTCCCAGGAGCTGTGGTCTCCGGGATCCGCACCTTCCGTGTCCTGCACCAAACCACGGGGCACATGACGGGCAGAGCTCTGAGTGACGGAGCTCACTCACAGTCAGGCTGGTCTGGCAACGGGCCTGGGGCAAGGATTGCAGGCTGACTCTGGCGTAAGACAAGGATCCGGACCAAGTCCAGAGTCATCCCAGCTTGCACCCAGCCAGGGGTCTGGCCTGAGCCGCCCAGAAGTGAAATAAAGCCCAGCTTGGCCCCCCGACGCAGTGGAGTGTGAGCACCCTCTGCAAGAGGCTGAGAGGAGGACTGGGGCAGGGGAAATGCAGCCATCTCTGGGGTGGAGTGTGGCGGCTGGTTCATAGCTGCTCAGCAAAGCTCCTGTAGTTAGCTACTGACGTACAGTTAATACGTACGTTCCAACAAGATGTCTGAGGATCCATGTGGGCAGCAGGCTCCTTGCACAACGAGATCAGCTCAAACTGCAAATAAGACCCAGCAAGGGGAACTGACCATTTGAACCCGCTGTCCTGGGCTTGGGGTGGAGTCTCCTGGCAGGAGCTTCGGGACTGGACGCAGGTGGCGCTGGGGGGGGAGGGTCCTTGGCTGGGTTACACACACGCCCGGATGGCACGATCCTAACAGTTCCCTCCAGCCCTAAGATCTTGGAGTCCCTCATGCCCTGCACCTGGTGTCACTTACACTAGTGCAACGGCCGTGGAAAGTGCTACCAGCTCAGTATGGCAGCGTCTCCCGCGCCCTTTGCACTGGGGTTCATGGCGACATGGCATGCACCCACCCCCAACCCCACCCCCACCCCCAAAAATTAAACGCCGTTGGATTGATAAAAATATATCCTTTATTTGCCTCTAGCCCGCTATTAATGACATCCGTAACAAAGCATTGTTCTTCTTATTTTAATTAGAAACCAAAAGGCCAGGGGAAGAAAATCTTTGTCGAAGGCAGAGGAGAGGGATCGTCTAGGAGACCCACCGGTTGGCAAGGCAAGGCCAGGCGGGTGCTAAGGGATATAAAACCATTCACAATAAATATTTTATTTACAAAACAAAACTGGCGATTCCGACCACTTCTTCAGTGCACGTTACGTACCAAATTCTCAGCCTTGCTCTGACCGCGCGAGCCAGACCAGCCAACGGTGACTGACCAGCGTTTTCTACCCTGTTCCCGGCACAATGCTCCGAGTCCAAGAAGCAAATGAGCGGCATTTGGTGAGCGTTGTAAACACACGTCCGAGGGGTAATCGCGGGCGCCGGGCACTTTCCGAGCTGCCTTTGACCTGGCCAGCCCTGCAGCCGGGGGGAGGCTGGGACATCGGATGGCACCGTCTCTGGGCCGCTAACCGGAATCCTGCCCGGGGCTGGGAGTGACTGAGCAGCGTGAAGGTGGGGCTGGGTGTCCCAGGCTGGGGCTCAGTACAGAGGCCAGCGCTGGGCTGAGGAGACCCACCCCAACCTCCCGCAAGGGGCGTTGGCAGAGGACGCGGAGCGGGGAGGGATCCAGGCTGCTGATCCAGCCCTTTTCGCCCACATGCGCCCAGGGACAAGACCCTGCGGGGTGGCGGGGAGGGCACTCGGTTCACCACTGGGCGGGTGGTGATCTCTGCAGGTGGTCCTGGCCTGGAAGAGTTTGGAGGGGTCTGGAGAGGATGCCCCCCACCCCCGCCAGGCCCTCGCCGTTCTCTGGGGCCGGGTCTGCTACCGAGAGGGCGGCTCCGGCGGGCAGAATCCGGCTGGCAGCAGCTGCTCGGGTGCGGTGCCCTTGCTCGGCGGGATGGGGGCAGGGCCCTGATTTTGATCCCTCCCCGGGGAAGGTCTTTGCCTCTGTGCCCCTCCTCCCGCCCGGCCCCGGCTCACAAGCACTCGTGCAAGACTTGTGTGTTGGTGCAGTTCAAGCAGCTGACGTGGCAGCACCAGTGGAAGGTGCAGTTGCAGCGCTCGGTGACCCGCTGGCTCCGCGTACGGTAGCCCCGTCCGCAGCACAGGAGCTCGCAGCCGCCCAGGGCTGGGGAGGAGCCATTGCACAAGCGCCCAGCCGTGCCCGCCGGGCCCGTCTTGCCGCTGTAGGTGCAGAAGTTGGGCGACTTCTCGAAGTAGACGAGGTCGTGCGGGGAGGGAGGCTTGTGGGCCGGGTTCTCCGGCTCCAGGTGGGGCCCCTCCACCCGCGAGGCCCGGTTGCTGCCCTTGTTGCCGTAGATGACGCGGGAGGCGCCGTCGAACCGGTCCTTGAGGAAGTCGCCCACCGTGCGGAAGGTGGGGAGCCGCATCCAGCAGGTCTTGACGGTGCAGGAGCCCGACATGCCGTGGCACTTGCACTCCTGCCGCATCTCCGAGAAGACCGTCTGCAAGACAGGCAGGGCGTGGTCAGTGCTGCGAGCAGCCCCAGAGCAGTGCCCCGGCACCGGGCGCTGCCCTGGAGCGATGCCCAGGTGGGACCCCAGCGCCGTGAGCATCCCCACGGCGGTACCCACCTGGGCCTCCGTTACGCCTGCGCCCTCCCCTCTAACACTCGTTAGCCAGCGTCTAGCCGGCTGCGGGAGGCCAGCCAGCTCCGGCGGTTTGCTCTGAGCAGAGCCGTTCTGCCGGGATCACTCTGCAGGCACCGGCCCCTGCCGCGCCCCGCCCGCCCCCGCGCTGGAATGCCGAGGCAGCCCGCGGAGGCTCCCAGGACTCCTTTCCAGTGGGGTTTTACTGCAATTAGAGGACCTGGCATCATTTCCTCCCACATGTGCTGGATGCTGGCAGGGCCACGCACAGCAGGACGCCTGGACGAGGAGCCCTGGCTTCACCCATCAGAGCTGGCGTGTCCCGGCTCTGCCCCAACCCTGCTCCACCCATCGCGTCTCCACCCTCCCTTCACCGGGCTCCCGCTCCCCCTCCTCCCCTCTGATCGGTCCCGCATCCCCCCCCCGCCCCCCCGAGCTGGGAGTTCGCAGGGGGCAAGGAGGGCGGGACGGGTCCCTCCAGGTCTCTCTGTCCCCTTTGGATGCTGGGCAGGGCGCATCTGTCCTCTGCACACCCCCTGCCCTCCGTCCCTCTGCTCAGAGGCTGCGGCAACCGTGGTCCCTCTGCTGATGCCCCCAGGAAGAGAAGCTGCAAGTCAGGAACCTGCCCTGCCCAGAGACTCCTGTAGCCGCCCTCTGAATACTGGAGCCCATCAGCTCCCTGTCTCCAAAGCAGAGACCACAGGGGCTGGGAAAGAGCCCCAGAAACGACGCTCCTCCCACAGCACAGACATGCACGGACACACGCACACGCACGGACATGCATGGACATGCACACGCATGCACACGTACGCACACGCATGGACATGGACACACGCACACACGCACACGCACGGACACACGCACACGCACGCACGCACGCACACGCACAGACACGCATGGACATGCACACACATGCACACGTACGCACACGCATGGACATGGACACACACGCACGCACATGCACGGACACGCAGAGACATGCACGCACGCACACACATGCACGGACAAGCGCACACGCACGCGGGCACGCGGGCACACACATGGACATGCACACGCACACACACGTACACACACACATGGACATGGACACATGCACACACACACGCACATGCACACACACACATGGACATGCACGCACACGCAGAGACATGCACGGACACGCATGCACATGCACACACACACACGCACATGCACGCACACACATAGACATGCACGGACACGCATGCACATGCACGCACATGCAGAGACATGCACACACACACACACATGCACGGACACGCGCACACGCACGCGGGCACGCCCGCACACACATGGACATGCACGGACACGCACATGCACAGACCTGCACACACCGTCTCCCCCCCCGTGCCCGCGCACCCCCACGTGCACACTCACACACGCCTCACCATCCGCCCCGCCTCGTTGTTGTGCAGGTTCATCAGGAAGCGCAGGTCCCGCCCCTTCTCGTTCGAATCCACGAACTCGCGCCCGAAGACCCGGCCGAAGTCGACGTTGTCGCTGCAGCCCCCCCAGTGCCAGTCGGGGCCCCCCGGGCCGCGGCGCCGATAGTCACACGTGCAGGACTCGATGGAGCCCTCGGAGCAGGACCGGGCCACGGAGTGGGTGACGCCGGCGCTGGTGATGGCGAAGATGAACGCCGTCTCCCGACAGCCTGGGGGCAGGGAACCAAAGCATTCAGGGCACCGGCACGGCGTGTGGGCGCCCCGGGGCACAGTCCCGGCCCCCCGGGGCTGCAGCCAGCAGGGCGCTGGAAAGGAGCTGCAGGGGCCCCAGATGCCTCTGGCAGGGCACCCAAGACACTGGCCACCCAGGCAGCAGCAGGCACTTTGCAAAAGGCAGCCCGGCTGCGGGGGTGGTGGTGGTGGGGGGGGGCCGAGAGGACAGGGGCTCACTCCAGAGGCGGGCGGGGAGTGTGGGGGCTGGGCCAGGCCAGGCCTGGGTCACTTTGTCTCCCCACAGTACCGTGGGGCTGGCTCGCCCGGTGTCCGGGCAGCCCAGGTAACACACCTGGTACCAGCTCGGGGAAGCTCCCTCCAGAGGTGAAGGGGGAAATGAAAGGTGCGTTTGCACCTGCGGCCAGGTTCGTTCGCATACCGAGTTCCCTGGCTCCCCCTAGTGGTGGTGAGGGGGAACTGAGGGGGATCCTCCTGGCCGCCAGGTGGAAGGGGCAGGTGGCAGGAAGTTGCAGCTTTTGCTGTGGATCCACAGGAAGGGGGGCCGGGGCAGGGGTCCCTGTGCAGGTGAGGAGGGGGTGATGACGAGCTTGGCTTTGGGGGAGGGGCTGCAGCCATCATGGGGGATTGCAGCAGGGAGCTGGGTGGGGAGGCGCGGGTGGGGGAGAGGCAGGATGGAGGGGGCATGCAGGCAATGGCAGGGGAGCATGCTGGGCTTGTGGGGGGGACCCAGCGTTCAGGGAGCACCTGATGGGCTGGGGATGGCAGAGGGCTGTGCCTGGCCCCGCAGGCACTCCGGGGTCACCCCGGCTTCCCCAGGCCAAGCTCGGCCTTTGCTTGTTTGTTTTCCTCCTGCTGAAGCTGGCTGGGTCCCAGGTCCCCGGGGACCCATGTGTTTGTGACAGGGAGAGAAAACGACCCGGAAAGGCAGGGGCCAGGGGAGCCGGCTTGCAGGGCGGGATTTCTGCCTTAGAAAGGAGCCCCACAGCCCCTCTTCTCCCCCGGGGTCAGCGGCTCTTTCACCCTGGCAGAGGTGACACGAGCTCTGCCCTTTGTGGGGGGGTGCGACCGAGTTCCCCCACACACCACAGAGGGGCAACAGTGTTATCGTGGGCTTGGGCCCGTCGTGCCAGGCGCTGCACAGACACTGGCCTTCCTCAGGCGAGTCTAGGCGAGGGGCGGGAGGGGAAGGTGGCAGAGCCGGGATGGAGCCCAGGAGCCCGGGGGCCCAGTTCAGGTGCATCCACTGGGCCACGGGGCCGTAGTTTGGAAAGGCGTTTTTAAAAGCGCTGAACGAAGCGTAACCGGGGCTGAGGCTGGCAGCCCCCGAGCAGAGGAGTCGCCCCGCTGGATGGCCAGGGGCTGCTCTGGGCGTGTGGGCCTGAGGCCCTGCGGGCTGCCAGCCCCGGGGAAATTCCCACGGAATTCCAGAGCCAGCTCCATGGGGAGGGGAATCCCCTGGGCAGGTCTAGGCAGGGGAGCTCCCTGGATCAGGGAAGGAGAGGTGACAAACACATCACTCATCTGGCCAATTCTGTGACACAGGGGGATGGGAGGGGGGACACAATGCATGGGGGGGCATGTGACCCACGAGGCCTGGCACGCAGTGGGAGGGGCCCTCAGCACCTGGTGGGAGAGGGCTGTGTGGTATACGGAGCCCCTTCCTGGGTGTGCCTGGGCCTAGCACCTGCTCTGCCTCAGTTTCCCCCTCATCTTGGCCAAGGTCACTGCTGGGAGCCCCCGCTCTGACCCCTGCTCCCGCTGGGAGCCCCCTGCAGCCTCACCCCGGTTGACGATCTTGCCGAAGATGTGGGGCCCCTGGGTGGTGGGGCAATTCCAGCGGCGGTTGCGGAATTGCCACTTGCACTCCTTGATGGCGCTCTGCAGGCCGCTGCTGATGCTGTGCAGGATCCCGGGGTTCTGGCGGATCAGCTTGCGCTGCTTGCGGCTCAGCAGCTGCAGGCTGGGGTCCAGCACCAGCTGCACGTTCTTGGAGTCCGTCAGCAGGTTGGTGGACGAGGCCACGTTGATGATGCCCCTGTGGACAGTGGGGGCAGAGGATAAGGCGCCACGTCGCAAGCCCAACCGAGCGGCAGTGAGCAGCGCAGCCCCTGGCCAGAGCAACACTCAGGTCAGTGGGACACTTGGGGTCCTGGCTCCCAGCCCGCTGCTCTGACCACTTAACCTCACTCCCCTCCCAGCGCGGGGGATGGAACCCCGGAGTCCTGGCTCCCAGCCCCCTGCTCTGACCACTTAACCTCACTCCCCTCCCAGCGCGGGGGATGGAACCCCGGAGTCCTGGCTCCCAGCCCCCTGCTCTGACCACTTAACCTCACTCCCCTCCGAGATCCAAGGGGTAGAACACCTGCCCTAACCAGGACATTCAGCCAGTGCGTGGGTGAGGGAAAAGCTCAGACATGGCACCAGAGGCAGGCTCCAGGTATGGGCAGAGCCCTGGGTTCCCAGCTCCGGGATGCCAGGGCGCAGAGTGCCGGCTCCAGGTGGCTCTAAGTCCTGATCGGCTGCGCTCTGGAGAGGCCTGTTTCACGGTCAAGGGCTGCAGCACCCGCCCGCTCCAGCCCTAAATCAGCCCGACAGGCCTGGACTAGGCAGTAATTCAAACAGGAGCAGAGAGAAGCCACCCCCAGAGCCAGCTGGGGAGGCGAAGGAGCTGCCCCCCCCGGCCCCCCAGCAACGGCAGGGTTGGGAGTACTCTGTGGGGACTGCTCTCCAGCACGAGTGTGCGTCCGCTGGCGTGTGCGTGGGGGGTAGAACAGAACCGAATGCGCTCCCCCGCCCACCCGTTCCCACCCGTCCCGCGCTGCAGCTGCCGATCCCAGCCCATGCTGGCATGGCACCGTAAGTACCAAGACACGACAGACAAACCCACACCTGTGGCCCATATTATATGGCATAAACGTGGGTATGTGTCTCTTTGTGTGTATACATAAGCTATTGCATAGCAATAGATACCGGCGGATGTGTGTGCGTGGACGTGTGCGTGTACCCGTCGTGTGAAATGTCAGTGCAGGGCTTGCAGCTGTGAGGCTCACGCTGCACTGGATGGGTTAATATCGTCAGTGAATGTGGGCGTCCACGCTCGCAGGGGGATGCAGAAGGAGACCGCACGCCGAGGTGCGGTTTGTGCTGGAGAGCGTGGGGAGGTGTGTAGGTGTCTATACGGCGAGCGTGTGTAGCCAGACGATTCCTGTGAGAGTGTCTAGCACGGGCTCAGGGCCTGTCGCACCGGCACTGTACACACGCAACGTAAAGGCAGTCCCTACTCCAAACCGGCTCTGTAGAATTAGCCCAAGACGCTGTGTACGCCAGCCAGAGCCTGTCTGTGTGCAGCACCGTCCACAGCTGTGTGTGGGGACGAACGGGTCGCTGGCTAGCTTAGCGGGGTGTCTGTGGGGAAGCTACAGCAAGTTCCATCAGCAACTGCCCCCCACCCCACCCCACGATGGACAGAGGAGCACAGCGAAGGGCAAACAAATTGGGTTGTAAATATAAAAATCTGTCTACAGGAAAAAGAAAAAAGACAGGAGGGCCAGGTGTGCTGCGGTTGGATGAAACACCCTGGGTCCAAGCCCCTTGGATGGTGCCTTTTCTCATCAACACAGAGTATCATTATTCTTTCATCCTTAGAAGCAAACACCTGAGTTCTTGAAATTTCTCCCCAGCCATCTCCAGATGCTGTGGAAAGCAGCTGCATTCCCTCCTGCCCTGAGAGCAGCCCCCTCTCTGCACTTGTCTGCTGGATTTCTCTCTCCCTCCACGGTTGTTCCATTCGCAAAAGGAGAATGACCAGAGCTAGGATTCCTGAAATGGATATAAAGGCAAAAGTAGAGACTTACCACCATCTCCCACTGTTATTCACCGCCAGAGTGTTGGAAAGAGACGAAAATGCCAAAACCCACAATGTCTTAAACCCTAAAATTAATGCCACAGGTCTCATTGTTTTGGCAGCAGGGCAGTGGCTCGTATAAAACTTCCCGAGAGTAGTTTGTCTGGACACAAAAAATTATAGCTCTAGAAAGTCTTGTTGCAAGGAGAATCCTACAACAAATTCTTTGGCTTAATCGTTTCTCTCTCGATAGCTATATCCACATCCACACGGCGCGCAAGAAAGACGGGGTGTCTGTGGATATGGCTGTATAGAAATCTATAAATCTAGAAATCTATGTATAGAAACTCAAACCCTAAAAATAGAATCTAAATAAAAAGTCATGTCACAGTTGAGTTTGCAGCAGTGTTGGCATCCTCAAAATATGAAAATGCTGGAGGAAAGGCTCCAATCTTCTGGTTTCTGGCAGCCTCTTAGAGATGATTCCCCCAGAGAGGAATTAGACCACTAGGGGAAAAAGTTTGATGGTCTACGGCTGCTGTTGAGTGCTTAGCATCCTCCAGCCATCTCCAATGCCTCGGAGAGCCCCTTCCTTCTTATAGAGGCAGTGAGGTGGGTCTCTGTGGAACGGTACATCTGTGTAGGATCCAGGCTGTGTTCTCACGCTAACAATGGGAAGTGGAAGAGACGCATCACTTCTTACGGGGCAGCCCGCGCTGGGGCTATCTGGCCATCTGACTGTCCATCACTCAGGTTGAGATTAATTCTGTCAAGTGTCCGGGCTCTGTAAATCCATCGGTTCCTCCAAAACCCTTCTCTGCATGGGAGCAAATCCAGATCAGGGGGACGAGTGTTCGTGTCTGTCACTCACACGCCCCCCCCCCTCACCCCACCCCACCCCCCTGCCCCTCTCCTAGCCAGCTCCTGGCTGAGTCCAGGAGGTTTCTTCCAACTCGTTTTCCCCAGAGGCCCCCAAAGCGACCATGACCTTAGAAGCAGGAGAGTTTGGAGTAAGGGGTTGACACTATCCCAAGGGAAATCCAAGTCCAGAGGTGAGGGGGGCCAGGGAGGGGGGCCAGAGCTAAGATCCCCCAGCAGGAGAAGGGGTCTCCAGGCTGGGTCCAGGTCCCCCTGCTGAGACTGGCTGGGGATCAGCCGTGCCATGGCCTGCTGATGGGGTCCTGCTGCTTCATGCTGCCCGTCTCTCCGGGACTGCTGCGCTCAAAGCAATGCTTGGGGCTCCAGTGGCCACATTTGGCTTCCGAATGCTCCTGAGGCTTCTGCGGCAGCTTCGTTCCCACTCTGATTTCGCTCCCCTCTTGGCTGCTCTTTGCCAGACGTCATCCTGCGTGTGTGCTTGGCTTGGCAGCATTTACTGTGTCCTTTCACCACATGGGGCTGGCGGTCGAGGCAGAAGCTCGGGGAGATAAAAACTGAGCAAGTCCCATCCCCGGCAACCAGATGTAGCAAATTAACGACACAGCAGCTAATGGGCTGGAGCTGGGGTTTTCCATCCCATCTTCCGAGACCTCCCCGAACGGGAGTTCCGGGCTGGAGAGAGAAGCATTGGGGGGTTTGCCTAAGGGGAAAAGAAATAAATCAAACTTTGGCATTGGGGACAATCCCTGTGGCTGGGCGTGGCCCTGCCTCAGACAGGAGGCCAGAGGGCACATGGGAACGGTGCCCACCGCTGGTAGCTAATGGAGAGCGGGGCCTGGAAGGGCCAGATAAAGCCAGGTGCAGCCAAAGGTTTTGTTCTTGGCCTGCACCCCTCTCCTGGAGAGCCGTCTCTCTCTGGCTGGCACTGTGCACCCCCCGAACGCTCGCTCTCGCCCTGTGGCTCCACATCACCCGCCGAGGATCAGACCCTGGCTGGAATAGTCTGGACCCTCCTCCATGTCTGGCGGTGCCCGTAGACGCGGGTCTCTGCCTGAAGGGCCATGGTCTCCCCTGTGTAAGTTGTAGGTGATACCTGTGCCGTGTGTGGACGCGCGCTCACCCTGGGACTGACACCCAGCCGGGGCCACGCTCCTCCCAAGTGACTCTCTTGTCGTCCGCAGTGTTGAACCAGGGATGTGTTTGGTCTCAAATGAAGCTGGCCCCAGGGGGGTGAAGAGGAGGGGAGAGCAGAACCCCCACCCCTTAGACACCCCGGAGGGGCCGGCTGGGAGCAGGGCTACGATGACGCACACACACAGATGGGCACCCTATAGCACTGCCCCCCTGCCCCGAACCCAGAGCAAGCGGGACGTGTGCAAGCAGCCGGAGTCCCATCAGCAATAGGGTTTGTACGTCATGAGCCTCACCCCTGCAGGGCAGGACACCTCCACCCCAATGGGTTCCCCCAGAGGGCTAAGGGGTGTGGTAAGCGGGAGGGGCAGGCGCTGCGGAGAGGAGAGAAAACAGGGTGAGCCTGGGTGCCATTAGCCTTGTCCTGTGGTCGGGCTCCAGCTCGCAACCCCTGGCTCCTCTGCCCAGGTTTGTGGGTCTCAGCTAATCCAGTGTGGGCATTTGTCCCTGCTTCAGAATCAAGGTGCCTCACCACCCTCCCCCCACTTCCTTGGCCTCAAGAGCAGCCGGATCGGGCCCTTTATGAGCGTAGTGACTGGTCTCCTCGGCACAGCTAGATTGGGGGGACTCACGCACGGCTTTAAGGTTCAAAGAGAGGCTGGGGGTTTTGCAGACCTGGGGGGGTTACGTTCACGTTATTTGCCCTAACTGGGTGCCCCCCGCTGTCGGCGGGGAGCCGCTGGGCGCAGCGTGTAGGAGGCAAAATTTCCAGCCTGCGGGCCGCCCACGAGACCTCAGGCTGTCAGTGATCAGGGCCCCACGCGGGGCCTAACGCGGCTGCTGTCCTGGGCGCACAATCCCTGCCCCGTCTCACACGGGCACATGCCCAGCCCCACCCTGCCTCTGAGGCCCCCACAGAGTCCTGCGCGTTCCCAGTCCTGGTTGGACCCCCTTTCGGCCTCCCCGTGGGCCGGACACAGGCGAACCGCCGGGGGAACTGACCAGGCCGCCACGGGCAGCGCTGCCAGACAGAGAGAGAGAGACACACACACACACACACCCCTTTACACACACACACACACCCCTTTACACACACACACCCCTTTTCGGCATCCCCTTGCCCCAGCCCGTGCCCTGGGCTAGCAGGGTGCTGTTCCAGGTCTGGCCAGCAGGGGCCGCTGCTGGCTTGGCTATAGCCATGGGGCGGGCAGGTGCCAGGCCGGCCGGCCCCAGCCAGCGATGGGGGGCTGTGGGGGGGAGGGGGCTTTTGGGGTGGGGATTCTCCACTGGGAAAAAGAAAGAGTCCCCCAGGTCCCGCCCCCCCATCCTCCCCCACGTGGTGAGCGCATGGGGGGCTGGGGAGCTGCTGGGCGAGCCCCCAGCCACAGAGGGCAGGGGACGGGGCTGGGGATTTGTCAGAAGAGATGGGCCCTATGGGGAAGGGGAGAGCGAGAGAGATGATGGATGGATGAGGTGGGGAGAAGGGGGTGGGGAGGGGATGGAGGAGGGGGTAGAGGGGGTTGGGGAGGAGGGATGAGGTAGGAAGGGGGTGGGGGGATGGATGAGTTGGGGAGGGAGTGGGGGAGGGGGAAGATAGAGGAGGTGGGGGATGGATGAGGTGGGTAGAGCGTGGGGATGCATGAGGTGGATGGGGGGTGGGGAGGAGGGAGGAGGTGGGGTGGGGGAATGGATGAGGTGGGTAGGGGGGTGGGAGGAGGTGGGTAGCAGGTGGGGGGATTGGGGAGGGGGGAGATAGAGGACGTGGCGAGGGAGGTGAGGGGGATGGATGTGGAGGAGGGGGGAGATAGAGGGTGGGGGGGATTGGGGAGGGCGAGATAGAGGAGGTGGGGAGGATGGATGGGGAGGGGGGAGATAGAGGCGGGATGGATGAGGTGGGGGGAGGGGAGGGAGGAGGTGAGTAGCGGGGGGGGGGATTGGGGAGGGGGGAGATAGAGGAGGGTGGGGGGATAGATGAGATGGGGAGGGGATAGGACAGTGGCTGACGGGTCTCTATGGCAGTGGATTGCTGGGTGGCGGAGTTTGTCCATGGCTGTCCCCCGCCCCCAGTGGACCAGGGGGGCACGGACACCCTTGTTAGCCCCCCCACAGGCCTGCAGCCCATGCGGCTGCCCCCTGGCTGGGCTGGGCCCCGTCCCGTGCCCACGCTTGGCTCCAGGCAGTGCTGGGAGCTCCGGGCTGGGCGCTGAACCTGGGTTTAGTGGGCTGTGAAATGAGCCATGCTGGTCGGCCACCTCCAGCCCCCCAGGCCTAATCCCCAGCCCCTGCGTTTCCCCGGGTCAGCCATGCGCGCGGGATGGATTAGCCCGGCTCAGTCCCTTTACTGCCTGGAAATGGCCCTTTCTTCTCACGCGCCCGGAGAGGGGCATTGATCCCTTCAGTTCAATGGCAGACAAAGCCCAGGGGCCGAGCCTGCTGCTGCTGTGGGGGGAGCCCCCCACCCCTCCTACAGTGACCCTCACTTCCTCCCCATACAGGGAACTCTGCTGCCCAGGTCCTTCAGAGACATCCGCCCCCCGAGGGGCCCACTCTCTCCAGCCTCATGGACCCCCAGCCTCCTCCCACAGCGGCTGTCACCGCCTGCCCTGCTCCCCCCAGAGCACAGGGAGCCTCACTTGAGGTCCCCTTGCCCCAGGCAGGGATCAGGGCCCCAGCACATGACAGTCCGTCCCCCCTCGCTCCTGAGCCCCAACTCTGGGGGGCTCTGGGCTGAACCCTTCCAGCCATAACTTCCCTTTGGCAGCAGCAGCAGCCCCTCCCCCGGGTCCCTTTGTGCTGTGGCTCGTTATGGGAGTCGAGGGAGATGGTTTAACGGTGGGGCCAGATTCCTTCTACCGCAGTTTGCTGCATCTCCGCTAGGGGGCAGAAAGGCTGGCATGCAGACCCCGACCCCCAGGGTTACAGCAGCATACGGTCAGGTGGGACTTTACTCCCCTCGGGACACGGCCGGCCGGGGAGGACGCCCCAGGAGGGTGCTCCTATCCCAGCAGGAGGGGCCCTTTTGCTGGTTTAAGCGCACGTGGCTTTGGGAGAGGATTACAGGTATAACTTCCAGTGTAGCCTGACCCAGGTACTATGGAAGAACCAGGACTTGAACGCGGGTCTCCCACATGCCAGGTTAGCGTCTTACCCACTGGACTGTCCTGCCGCCCTACCTCAGTATCCCCCATCCCCTTCAAAAAAATATCCCCACAGCCTCCATGCTAGTCTCTGCTTCTTTTCCTCAGTGGCTGGACTGGTGGGTCTCCATGGGGAGGGAGAACCCAGCAGTGCTGGACAGGCAGGGCGGTGGGGCATGGAGAGACACCGCAGGGGCAGGGAAGGGACTTTCCGTGGCTGGGGTAATTGTTGCTAGGAGCTGGAGGCAGCGGGAGGGAAGACATGGGGGGTGTGGTGTGAGATTTAATGTTTTAAAAACTAAGGAAATTAAATGCTCAAAAATTTTGTCAATGCAGAGTTAAGGTTACCCAATGCCGTCACCTGGGCACCTTCCAGAATGTGGAGCATGGCTAACTGCGAACCTCTGAAACCCAGGAGAGTTAAGGGCCACACTCCTCCTGCAACACCACCTTAACTCTGCCCTCTGAGTGCGGCAACTAGCCTGTTACTGGGCAGAGTTCCTCTGGGCAGCATCCGCTGGCTCCTTGGACAGCTCTGAGGAGCAATGGGCGCTGTCCGGGGTTCTCTGCTCAGTGTCCCCCTCTGGATGAACCTGTGACCTTCACTCCTGA